ACCACCTCCAGATCAGTGTTGAAAAAAAGCACAGCATTACACAGAGGTAGTTACGAAACTACACGAAACCTGTGCAGATGCAAAACAGCAGCTCACCTCATGAGATACAGGGTATGTGTCATTTTACCAAAAAAAAAAATTATGAAGTGAATACTGACTGATTATCTCACCTATAACTGTATCCAAACTGCAGGATCCAACCTATGTGCAAATGCACCTACATCATCAACCAGTTGATGGAAAGGAATCCTCTTGAAAAACTATTCAGCTGCTCTTCTAGCAGCAAAGATGCCTGCTTGCTTCCAGTGCCCTCTGTCCCCTCCTCGCCAGCGACTGGGTATTTCCCGAGGCAGGGGCTTGTAGCACCCGTTGGGTTTCTACTCTGATTCAAGGACGTATGTTATCAGGCTGATTAATGCCTAACTACATATCAACCTAGTCACAAGATATAAATGCCACAGCAGAGGTTTGCCCACTGTTTCTTAAAATGTGTGCTACCTTAAGAAGACAGCTTCATTCAGCTTTGCAAGAGCCCCCTGGAGAAGCGCAGTAAGAAAGAGGCAGAGGAGCCTTTTACTTTCCTAATGGCCACTGACAGTTATCTGGAAAATCCTGCCAGGGAACACCACACACTTAGTAGTTTAACTCAGCAATGACCTTAAAGACTGGATATTCAGTTTGTCTCTACCTTTTTATCTTTTACGGCTAATTCTGCTTGCACTGTCCTCTACGCAATCCTTTTGGAGTTAACTATACAAACACTGGACACATGCATGTAAGAATTTATTCACTTACAGGTAACGGGTGCAGCCACATCAACCACCTCCTTGTCTCTTACAGAGCACTGTACTTAGGCAAGAAGCACCTTCTACAGCCACACAGTTTCACCGGTGAAAACAGCACACTAGCTACCACAGAAGACAACTAACTGTGCACTGTCTATTGCCTACGCTGAACTTAGAGAAGCAATGATCAGCCGTCCCACCACAATGAAACCAAGGGACACAAGTTAAGTTCAGCTTCATCCACCTGCAGCAGGGATCAGAAGAGCACAGGACGAAACGTGCCACCACCAGGAATTTCAGTCACTGACTGACATACGGCCTCTCCATAAAGGGCAAGACTAACCCTGCTACACCGATGAGAAAGCACTGAGCTGCCCATGCCATGCCGCAAGGCACCGCAGGGAGCCGGGCAGAGCGGTGACCTCCAAAGGACCTGCTGCTCTCCTTGCTGGCTCTTGGCTCCCGCTCCTCGGCATGCTGATCACTGCAACCGCGCCAAGGGACACCGCGCCAAGCGCAGACCGACATCGGGGCACTGCCTTAGAGGAAAAACAAAAAGGAGGATCCGAGCCTGGCGAAGGCTCCCCAAGGCATCTGGGCAGGCTGCAACCCAAAGACGCGTTTGCAGCTTGTGTACCACAGCCGGGTGCTGCACTCCGCAGCTGTAACTGCTACAGAGCTCAGCAGCAGCTCAAAATCACACCCGCTATGTAAGCTAACTGCGTGACCGGCTACTGCTGGTTTCTGGCCTGTGCAGGGCAGCAAGGATCTGTGCCAGTAAGGCCAGTTCCCTTCACTGGTGACGCGCAAGATGCACAGCTAACATACGGCCCCTGCAGCGAGTGCAGCCTGGCCCTATCTGAGGGCCGTGCCAGCACAGCAGAGGCTCTGCATGTACACTGTGCACGCTGCAGCAGCTTGACTTTGGCTACATCTAGTGTGGTCCCCAATCTGAGCATCCCCCCATGAAGCATGTCCCTTAAAGCCATCCAAAAGGTCAAACGCTGCTACAGACCCTTATGGGGGACCCTTTGACCCTTATGTCTCCTATCAGACACTAGTAAGCATTTGGTTCACAGGTGAAATAAAGCTTCCAGCTTAACATCCTCTAAAATAAACCTACCTGCACAAAAGACACTCTACAAAGGGAACCTGCATGCAGCAAAACCAGGGTGACTGAGCGATTTACAAAACCCTTCCACTGCCCTAAACCAAAATATTAGCACAGATGGGACAGAGCAAAGCAAGAGTCGGGTTTGTTTACCCTCACGCACTATTACATGACATTGATATTCAGCATCTCCTGCTACCTGGTACCTTTAAAGCTGTGTTTTTCTAACTTTTCTTTAAAGAAAGCTTAAGGAAAACACAGGTGCAGACTCTAAGCAACCATGTAACAGAGCTACCACATCCCCTAGAATTAAACAACAGCCATCGCCTGACAGTTTAAAAGGCCTTGACCTTTGTCTCAGCTTTGACCATTTAATTATTACACTCTGCTTTTTCTTTTCAAGATGTTCCTTATTAGCTCTTCAGTTACGTGTAGGAATCCTGATCTGGTTAAACAAACCACTTTTTTCCCTTTTCACTTCCTGCCCCCCAAAAAATAACAAACTCTCTCTGCCAACAAGGCAGCAGTGCCACTGCTGAGGTGCCTGTCTATTTTGTGTTGAGCAGGTATTTTGGACTTGGAAAAAACAACATGGCTTTTTTTTTTTTTCCTAATACTTTGCTACCAGAAAAAGTGGACTAGGCTACTTATAAGCAGTTTTGGAGAACCTAAGAGACCTGAATGGCTTGTAATAGTAGCTTAAATTTGCCTGCTAAAGCTGTTATTTCCAGCCACACACTCCTCTTTTCTGATGATCATCTCTGGGCAGGAGCATCGCTTTCATTTACAAGATGCTCCTGAAGCGTCCCCATGCCGAGCCCAGCACAGAAACATGAACCAGTTCTGCTTCTGGTGTACCTTAACGCCCCAGGCTAAGAGCTGCAGAAGATAAGCGAGCAATGGCTCCTGCCTTAGAGATGCAGCAATAGCTGAACACAGTCGCAGCCCTAGCTATCCAATTTAGCCTGCCAGAATAAAGCAACAGTTATGAAGTTTATCTAACTGTTCAATAAAAACAAACTGATTGCCCAGTAATTTACCTACAATACATACCACAGTGGATTATGCAGAACAGTTTAAGCATGGGCAAATTATATGATAAAAGATGAACACACTCACTTCGTCTCTCTCCTATTCAATCAAATCCCACGCTTAGAAGACTGGAAGAACAAATTGCCCAACAAAACCGAGCAGAAGGTAAAATTGTCACAGTTCACAAGTAATTACAGGGGTTTTCTCCCCACACACACTGTAAATAAGTATTTGCAGCATGCACTCTACCAACAGATCTATTTCAAGGTCACTGTCAGTCTGGTTATATTAAACATTTTACTTACTGTTCCACCTTGTTGCATCACAAGGTATTGTAGCCAGTTAACATCTGTGGTTCCAGAGTAAATTTAGAAAGTACACAGAAATATATTCTCAAAAGGCTCCCAATATGTATCTATATACATGTTTACAAATACACATCTCTGTATCTATACACACACACATCCCTATAGCAAAACATCGAAAGAAAACTGCTCCTTTCATTTTCTTGCACTCCATTTTATAGCAAAGAAAGTATCTGCCTTTGAGGACAGTTAATTTTTTACCCTAAAGAGCAATCCACAGAGATAAAAAAAATGACGATGTTAACGTAGTGCCCAAATTTATCATGCAAAGACATTTTGCTTCTTACAGAAGAAGAAAATATTGGTTTGGAAAATGGAGAGCTAAAACTCAATCCAGCCAGCACGTTTCTCCTGGAAAGAATAGGGCTGAACTTTTAGACACTGCAGGGCTACTTACAGTTTGCTTTCTTAGGGTATCTGTGCAGCCTGACACTTCCTAAACACAAACACATTGATGCACACACAGGAAGAACCAGTTAGAAGCAGCACTGTTACGGTCACCTCTGATGACACCTTGGAGAACAGACAACAGTGTATGTCGGGATATAATCACTAGTGTGTTCAGAGTGCAATGCAACTGCCTGCTCTTGTTCAGCTCAGACACATTTAAAGTTGAATAGGAGAGGAAAAAAAAAAGATGAGGGAATTGGTTCAGTGTTCCACATCCTGCAGCCCAAATCTGAGAAGTCTCTCATATTTTCTGAGTCGATGAAAACAGGTATTGCTAAGTCAAGGCACTACCAACAGTGTGAAGAACAATAAAAAATAACAAAGAAAAAACACACAAAACAACAACAAAAAAAACCCCAGCCTTCCAAGATCAATTTTCAGGCTAAACCAGATGAAAAGTGGGCCTGGCAATTTTCACGCAAAAAACAAAGGCTGAACAAGGCATTTTTAGAAGCAAATTCCTGAGCACTACAGGTCTACCTACCTGTTTAGCACCCAGCCAGAAGCATCTCCAAAAGCATCTCCAATTTAAGATCTACTTGTTTATGTATACATAAATAGAAGTGCAAGATGGTTTTCTGTGAAATTTCGTCCTGCCATTGCATTGCTGAACAGAGGCACTCTTGGATTTCAGGTATCAAAGATCACATGGTACACTGAAGTAATCAAACCTAATAATTAACCCATGCAGCCAGGATTTCCGGAATCAGTCCAGTCGCTATCACTATTTCAGTCTGAAGTTCAGTACCTCAGGGCCAGTAAAGTGTACAGTAAAAATACATATCCAAGTACATTAGTGGTGCCATTTATGCCAACTCACATCATCTCCATTTCTTGGCCTATACACAGTGCCTTCATGCTTATATACATGTGTTTAAGCCACTTTTACCTATCAAACCAAGGAAAGCAAGCTCTCCATAAAAACACTAATACCATGAAAATAGATAGTATAACCTATCAGCAGGCTTCTTTAAGCATAAGCAGTATTCATCCATTCACCCTTCTTCCCATTTTAACCCATGCTTGGTTAGAAGCTGCAGATATAATTTCCAAGATAGCATGCACTGTCTTTTCCCCTCTACTGTACCATTAAGCACCTTACTCAAAAGCAAAATACTCCCTGCAACCACGAAAGACTCATTTTGATGAGTTCCCCCACCACCACCCCAAGCTACTTCCAGTGACTTCAAGGGTATATTTCACCAAGCAACAACAAAAGACACTAAATCCCATTTGGAATTCATTGCTTGAAAACTGCTACTCATCATCATCATATGAGGTCAACCAGATACCACAGAAGTTATTGTAAAGCTCAGCAAACCTTACTTCTGGCAGAGGGCTGGCCGGTTTGGTTAGGATGCCTCCCACATACACAACGTTGGGTAGCGTAGGTCTCGGAAACTCCAGTGCTACATCAGTACAAAGCATCCACAGGCTGGATCCATGAACCAAGTCATACATGGACCTTTCCGGCAGAACGTTGTGTTTCTGCATTATCCTTTCATATTTTGGCAGAACCAAAAAACTGACTCCAAATCTTGAAATAAGATAAACAAAAGTATTTTTAATCCTCTCAAATAGGTTCATGTGATCTGTGAGCAGCGAGTTGAATTCTGGAACATAAGACAGTGGAGCTGGAGCACCCACTTCTGCTGGATACCAGAGGCCAGTGGAAAAGACAGCATATTTAACCCCTAAAAGATGAGCTATAACAAATCCACACATCTCATTGGGATCTACCAGGAGCAGGTCAAATTTTTCCTGTTTCAGGGCACGCATGAGGTTTTGGTTTCCAACGATCATGTCACAGTTCTTGGAATAGTGGTCCAGGATATCGAACAGTTCAAGGGCTGTCAGTCTCCCCGAGAAGATACTCCTCATCTTGGACTGGAGAAAATCATCCGAGGTGCTGCTGTTAAAGATCCCTGGGTAGCGCTGAAGTCTATAGTGATTAGACGGAGGAATCTCTCTGCCCTCAGAGAGGAGAAACACTGTCTGGTGACCTTGGTCATGCAAGGCTGAGGCCAGAGTCTTGAAAATATAAAGATGGCTTTCAAACATAATTGGCGGCACAACAACGATTTTGGCAGCCCTCGCTATGCCGACAGCACTCCACAGGAGAATGAAAGCTGGAGCGTACGGCTTCATAGCTGAAATGAGATATAAAAGCATTACATTAACAGAAGACAAGTTTGTATGCTACCTGTGAAATTAAAAGAAGTTATTATGTGGCCGTCCCATGAAAGCTAAGCACATGCCCCTATTTCAAAGACGTCTTTGCAATGGTCAAGGGGAACAAGAGAGCCACTCAGCTTCAGAGTGCATTTGGTAGTGCTTGGGTTTCCAGCAAGGTCTGTTTTTTCCCCTCCCCTTCCTTTCTATCTGGCATCAAGGCTAGACAAGAGACTTCTTCCAACACAGATACCAACACAGCACCTCCATTAAATGGCCAGAAAAGCAACTGAGACAATGAGGTTGGTACCCCCCACGATGATACCACATCCACCACTTCCAAATTATATATGCCACCCAACAGCTGCAAGATCTTGAAGTCACCTCTGAAAGCTAGATCCTGCGACATTTGGGATTGTATTTAAAAGCATGACCGCATTATTGTCACTGTAATACATTAACTGAATAAGAAAGGTACCAAGTTCAAAGACCCAAAGGCTAAAATCCTCTATTTATTCACACATAAGACCAAAGGATGCACTGGTGATTTTCAGTCCATAGGATGTAAGATGACTCTTTTATAAATACAATTCAGTCTTGCCCTCTCAACTGGCACTTCTCATATATCCATTTTAATTTTGTAGTTTCAGCACACCACGCTTCATGCTACTGTTAACATGGTTACGAGGATTTCTACTGCAAGGTCTTGTCCAATAGCCACCCACAGCTTTCCAACTGTCCTCCTTCGTTGCAACTCTCTACTCTGATTTAAGAATAACATTCTCTGCCCATATAAGCCAATGGGAACAGAGAAGATAAAGGGTGAGGTTTTTTTCTCCTAAAAGAACATGCAAATCAGTGTTTTTCTTTAGTATCAACACTAATCAGATACATGGGGGTGGAAAGTCAAAATCTGTCAGGAAGATGACACCATCAAATAAGAACCAACTTAACTATGTTGAGCTTTTAAAAATTACATTTTGTGTTTGAGAACAAGCGAAGTAGTGGGAGTTAGTACCACACACATGAGCATTGCACCTTGTTCTGAAGCACTTTTAGAAGTACTTGATTTTGAACCTACTTAAATCAGCACTCGAGCATGCACTCTCACCTATGCTGAAAACTCCACTGACATCCTAATCATACACAGTTCCTGACAACAGCAGGCTGCCAGGGAAAGGGAAAATACTTCTTTCCCCTCACAACATTTTGGTGAGTAAAGCCTGTAAAACACTGTATGCACCAGATGAAAGCCAAGTGTGTTAGAAGCACGAAGAAGGCATGTCAGAAAGCCCCCTCAATCACTTTAACCCTCCTAGGCCAGAGAAATAAGAGCAAGCCAAAGCAAACAATCTGCGCTTTTCTTGTGCCAAACCAATCCACACAGAAACCTGAGTCTGCTGCAGTGTCCTTTATAAATAAGCACAACAGAAACAGATAACACTGCTACTCAGTCCTTGTTATCTCCTTACAGCACAGTCTTGTAACCCTCCTGCAATAGATTGCTTGGGATTTTTTTTTTTTTTAACGTTATGAGGGTTACCAGCTCACCAACAAGGCACCTCATATTTGTATTGCTACTACAGAATATTGAGCCTTCTAAAAGATGCCCCAATTTTCTCCTACTCCAGCTTCTGCAAGTGGCTTGACTTCAAAACATTTATAAGCATGCACCAAGCCCACGTAAAGTTGGAAAATCTCCACAAGGGACATTGACTATGTAAATCAAGTGTCTCCCATGAAAAGTTTTCTTACTGGTTTTGAAGCCTCCTCCACACTTGTCTTCAGAAAGCACTAGCTACTGCCTAGGAGATTACCAACCATCACTTCGAGAACTCTATCAGTTTTAAATTAATTATTGCCAGCAGCAGCGTGCACACACACAGATGTATGCACAAGAACGTTCATTCGGGCAGACACACTTTTTTGTGGGTTTTTTTTCTTTCCCAGGACAAAGCCCATAGCACGAAGATGCTGAGTAAAATCTTATGGTACCCATGGCCAAGTACCAAGAAACTGAAACACGGAGAATTTATTGAGATCCCCACACCACCACCACATTCACAGGCTGACGTAGCTTTCTGGGAAGTACTCTGAGGCTTCACTGTTTCCAGGCACAAAGCTCAATTTTACAGAGATAACTCTTCTGAGGAAGGGGGAGGAAATTACTTTCTGCAAATATTACCAGTAGCATGAGATCTTCACTATACTGCACCATTGTCACTGGCATCAGGAGAGATAGATTTGGTTTTTAAGCTGCTTCAATTAGGGTGCCGGAGATCACCCTAAAACATCTCCTCCTCACAAACAGCAGTAGTCAAACTAAACAGCAATCCTACTCACTTTCCAATCAAGTTGGAAAAGCATTCTGACAACCTAAGAAACAGCTTTCCTCCCAGCACGAAGGCCTGACCTGCCAGAGAGTTTAAAGTATTAAAATGCCTTTTTAGTTTAGGCCTTTGGTTTCACTGGAGCCTTTCTAGAAAACCACAGTGCCCCACAGAGCTCAAGGAGCTCCCATTCAAAGGACGTGCCAGCACAGAGGACCGCTCACCATCCCACTTTGCTCCCATCCTTAAAACTCACAGGTTTCAAGCTGCAGCAGAGGGCTGTGCAAGTGCAGAAGTACATAGGCTTGGTGCAGCGTTCGATATTGGTATCAACAAGCCATGCTCAGCTATCTTCAACAGGGCCTCACTGGAGGGTAACACTCATTAGGTAAATGCAGTTTTGGAAAGTAATTGATAGTTGGTCAATGAAATACACAAGAAAAATGATTAATCAAACTTGGAAAAAAACATTAATGATTGCATCTCCCCATGCTATAAGCATTCCCACGGTATTAACTTACTGCTCCTGTCAACAATAGTGATATTACAAAACCATGAATGGAGGTGTAGGATTGGGAAACTCAGGAACAGTTAACATTCCTATCAGCGGTACAAATCAAAGGTACCAGGAGCCTAAGGGCTAGTATGATCCAAGAGGCTGTCAGATGCAGGCACGCTGGCTGTACTTTCATCTCCTGACCCAACACAAGCCAGAAGCACAGCGCAGGAAGATACAATCCTTAGCCCTAAGGCGTATTTTCCACAGCCAGGGTTACTCATTGCCATCAAAAGCCATGGGAACGACAGCTGTACTTCCCTGGGATGATCACAGTACTGCCCCACAGCTTCCTATCCCCAAGCAGCAACGTTTCAAATGGGAATCACACTGAATGTTTTACTCTTCATGCAAGTACTATAAAGCACTACCTACCTCACAGGAAAAATCTGTGAATATAAATACAAGCAATTTACCAAACATTAGTTCCTCTCCTCTTGAGGTGTATCAGCATTAAGAGCTGACACAACACACTTCCCCAGTAGTCTGTAACTTGCAGTATCTTCAGAACCGATAAAATAATCACTTCTCCAAAAGGTGTTATGCAACTCCCCTTTTCAACGCAAGCATCTTCCACAGGGACATGAAAATACATGTATAGGACCTGCCAAGCCATAGAGATATTAAACACATGACACTATTAGAGAAATGCCGATTAAGTGACATTTTTACTGGGAAAAACAGCATTGACTTCATGCTGAACTTTTGGCAGGAAGCTGCAGGATGAAGCCTCATCATTTCATCCCCTGGCCAGACAGAAGCAGGGAGCTTGGAAGGTTTGTATCTAGCTTGAATGAGAGCAACACACAACAGCGCTTTGTAAGCCAATTAATCATGAGCATAATTCCCACTTGGCAGACTGGGAGGAAGGAAGAGGTAGGTGGGCACTCGGGGTCATCAGCAGGGCAACAACACGCAACTATGCAAAGTCAGCTCTGGGCTCTGCCGTAGAAGTCCCTTCACCCAGACCATCCTCGGCAATGAGCTCCTCCAGCTCACCAGGTACTTCCACCAAGACAGAGCAAGTCGTGGAGGCTTGCCTATTCCAACGGGAACTTCTGATACAGCTCAACTCCAAAAGCAGTAAGCAGTGCTTAGGCAGAGAAGGCTTTACAAGGGTCAGGAAAATTATGAGGTGGTGCTAGATGGAAGCCAGCTCATCAAAACCAGAGCACAGGGACTCTTCCCACTAACTAGCAGCCATGCTCCAGTGGTGAACTCCCAAAATAAATCACTTCCCAAATAAATAAAAAATAATCAACATCCAATACAACCACTTTCTGTTTCAGAGCTACAGGAGCATGAAACAGGGTTGTCAAGTGTCCTGACAGAAAAAAGGAAAGAAAATCCAAAGCCAGTGGATGATGTGTTTCTCCAAGATAGCTAACAATGTAAAACCACCTTCTACCTCTATCCTAAGTCCTTCTGCTGACAATTTGCCTCCATTAAAAAGATAGTTTTGGTGTCTGAGCTGGTATATAACATCCTTTTATAAGAGAGAGTGAAAAGAAAAATCAAAATTTTCTAAAATTGAAAACCAACACCAACAAAACAACACCCCACCATCACCACATTGAAGCCATTATTACTTTCAGCCAAAAAGCCATGGTACAGAGGTGGAAAAAAAAAAAAAAAGATGCAGAGTGGCTTTATGCATGTGAAACCAACTGCCGACTGTAAAGAGTTCACCTATTGGAGAGCAGCAAGAGAAAGTTAAAGATTAAAGAAATACCAAGAGGTTAAATATTAAACCTACTCCAACGGCTTCCTGTAAAGCTAACGACCTACATGTGTTTTTTTCAAATGAAAGTATGAGTTTTAAAGTGTTACAGAAAACCAAGCATATCCACAGAAGACTCTTGAAGGGATATTTTCAGCTGACCAAAACAGTTCTAAATCCTGATTTATTCTTTTTTTATATAAGTATTTTTCCATTCACCCAGAAAGATCAAGCAGGATCTAGAACAAGTGTGACTATACAGAAACTGCTGACTTTCAGAGGAAAAAAAATAAGGCAGAAGATCCTCCCCCCACATCGTTCACAAAGGTCTGATACTTGAATATTGGGCCATGTGGAAAGAGACTGAATG